ACCTGACATTAATTACATTTGTTTCTTTCAAAGAAAAATTGCATATGGTTAAGTTGTTTTATTTACTTAGATAGAATTTGGTTTAATGCTCTTAGATAAATTAAATTTTTTTTTCCGCCTGTGTTTATTGAATGTTAGTGTAGGGGAAGTGGAGTTTGATTTAAGAAAAAAGTGCCTTAAAAAAGAAAGAAAAAGAAAAAAAAAGGAGAACAGTATTTGTGTATTATTTCCATTAAATCCATTTTAGTAAAATGATGACACAGAGAAGAGGCAGATTTTTGTTGTTCTCTGCTTGGAAGAGGTTTGGGGTTTTTTTTCCTTTTTTTCTTTCTTTTTTTTTTTTTTCCTCCTTCCCTTAAATCTCACTTATGTCTGTGTGGCAGCTGTTGCTTCTTTTAAGGAAGCCAGTTTTTGAACTCAGGTTTCTGTTGCTTATCAGCACTGTATATTAAAGATATTTCCTTCACACCTCTAAAACCATTTACATATTGAAAAGTGTAGATGTTTTGCAAAAGTGATTTTTTAAATAGTTTTTTAATAATCAGATTAATTTCAAATTATTGAATAATTTTTCAAGAATTGCTGAATTTCCATGTGTTTAAGGATTACAAGTGGTGAGACTAACAATAGCAGCCATTGAATCTGAGGTGAAGTATACGTTTGAAGAGAAAGTTTGAGTTCTGAGGTGAAGTAAAAAAAATTATGAACTTTGATACATTTGTCTAACATGGATTTATTGACTACTCATATGGTTTCTTAGAAAGCTCTTCTTTGTGAAACTCCTCATCAGTATCAAAACTACAAACATTGCATCACTAGAATAAACACATTTTGTGAAATGTCCTGAAGGCAGGATTCTTGTTACTAATTGTCAAAGGCAAAACCCCAAAATCATTAAGGTTGCAGTACAGGGGCAAATAGAGCCAACCCCGAGGGTGTTGTTCTGAACAAACCTTCATTAAGCATTTTTTGTTACTGTTGCTAGCCAGTGTATTATTAAATACAGCATCAATTAAAGAGTTGCCTGTTATGAGGGTGCTTTTTGCATGAAGATCAGATGGCATTTTCATGTGCTTCAAGGATGTCCTGCCATCTTATTTAATCTTTTGGGTGTGTTCTCTCAGTAGGCATTAAAAAAGCAGACCCCAACAACCTAAAATTGGTTATGAATTTGTATTTTTTGTGGGTATGTATGTTTATTGCCTGTATATATCGGTGAGATATATATTCTAGTGCCGCTTTTCTCAGGTGGTTTTTAAAACTTTGACTAGAATTAAAATGATGTAGGAATTACTTGGGTTGCTTTGATTTGGTGGTTGCAATTAGAGACCTCTTCTTACTGTCTAATAAACTGATCCTGAAAGAACATGTTTTTCAACTTAGAAGGGTGTAAATTTAAGCAAAATAATAATTTAGCTTACATTAACTCAGCA